ATGTCATCGGCATAAGCCAGCAATTGCACGCTCTTGTAGTAAATTGTTCCTGAGCGGTTCAGTTCTGCAGCTCTTATTATCTTCTCCAACATCAGATTAAAGAAGTCCATTAAAGGGAGTCGCTCTGTCTGAAACGCCGTTTTGTGGCGAATGGCTCGGAGAGGTCTTTCCCAATTCTGACGGAGCTGGTGGTATTGCTCAACGTCATTTTACACAGACGTATGAGTTTTGAAGGGATGCCAAATTCAGACATAGTCAAGTGCTGTCAAAAGCGGCTTTAAAGTGGTGATTGTCGATCATTTTCTCGCGGGTCTTTTCCGAGATTTGGCGTATTGTAAATACCTGGTCTATGGTGGATTTGCCAGCTCTAAAGCCACACTGATAAGGCCCAATCAGTTGATTGACGGTGGGCTTCAGTCTTTCACACAATACGCTCGATAAGACCTTGTAACCTATGCTTAGAAGGCTGATCCCGCGGTAGTTGGCGCGAATGGCGGGGTCACCTTTCTTGTGGATTGGGCAGAGCACACTTAAATTCCAGTCGTCGGGCATGCGTTCATCTGACCATATTCTGCACAAGAGTTGATGCATGCACCTTATCCTACTTGAATAGCTCAGCTGGTAGGCTGACAGCTCCAGCAGCTTGGTTGTTTTTCAGCCGCGTTATTGCTATACGTACCTCGTCACAGTCAGCCGGTGGAACGTCGACTCCGTCATCATCGACTGCGGGCTGGGGTTCTTCATCTCCACAACTTTCCGTGCTGCTACCATTTAGTAGGGCGGNTCAGGGTTCTTCATCTCCACAACTTTCCGTGCTGCTACCATTTAGTAGGGCGGAAAAGTGTTCCCTCCATAATTTAAGTACGCTCTGGACATCAGTTACTAGGTCGCCATTATTGTTCTTACAGGAGTACGCCCCGGTCTTGAAACTTTCCGTAAGTCGCCTAACTCTCTGGTAAAATATTCCGGCATTCTTCCTGTCGGCGAGCATTTCAAGCTCTTCGCACTCACGTATTTCGGCCTCTCTCTTCTTATTGCGGCAAATACGTCTCACTTCCCTATTCAGATCCCTATAGCGTTGCGCCCGATCGCAGCGTGGCCCTGTAGGCGGCATCTTTTTT